TTGTAAAATTTACTAACAAACCAATTAAATGGCCAAAGAAGACTACGACGACTACACTGAAGCAAAATAAACACTCCCCAAAGCAACTGTTCCGCTGGTGCTGCTGTCGTTGCCACCGACACAGCCACTTCCCCCACACGGTCCCCGCTGCTGGTAGTTGTAATTCGGCTGGCTGTAATAACGACGATGAGACTTTATTCACTCTACAGTTTGGGAAGTTCGATGTGATTTAAGTTTGGTTTGTTGTCCTCTTTCGCATTTTTTCCTGCCTTTATTTTTTCCAAGATGGCCATCATTTATGGCGTCTTGACAAGTTACAACTCTTTTTGTAGCTTTGTTGTTGGTTTTTTCTTCCACTTGCGGACACAACCATTTCTTTTACATTTCGAAATGGCTGGCATCATTCTTTGTGTGTGAGTGAGTTAGTTTCAAAGTATGTGTATATGTGTGTGTATGTGTGAAAGAATAATGCTTTATTTACTTTTGAGCCATGGACTTGTTAACAAACTAACTCTTCTCGACTAGTCAACAAAATGGGTATGGTTGATCGGTCTCCTACTTTGGGAAAGAAGGTGGCCACAGAAAAACAACTCATTCCAAAGAAAATCATAAACAAAAACAACAACACCAACATGAAAATGATCAACTACACACAAGCGACGAACGAACGTGCACCAAAGATAAATGTTTGCTTATTATCGACTGACCAAATAGGAAAAGTGTTGTCAGTCAGCTATATTTTCTTGCCACATATGTCTGTATGTATGTATGTGACTGCTTGCTGCAGCTATGTCTTGATTAACTGCCATCGAAATAATGGTCAATTTAAAAACATTGGTTGTTTACAGACACAAACACACGCACGCACACAATATTAAATTGAGTCCAAATGAGATAATTGAAAATGCTTCAGAAATTGGTTTTAATTGGAATAAAGAAATAAAGTAAATTAAATATTTAATACGATTCGTACTATTCGATGTTCAGAAAGTTCGGGACTAAAAATGGCCGAATGTGCATGCTGATGCCATAGTATGTCTTTTGTGTAGAGGAACCGGTTACACTGTTATTGTTGAAGGCATTATACTTTTACTGCTAAAAATCCTAATGTTTCATCTGACACCCCTAGCCTAATCATTTCCACATTGAAAAGAGCATTTCGTGGGAGAAGTTTTTGAGAACCTCGATTGACGATCAACTCGGGAATAATCGTTTCCTTGTATTAGTTTATTGGTTAGAGAGCCGTTTAATTTGCTTCTACTGGCGCCCGACGTTGATTATTCTTATGAGAAAACACATAGTTCTGGGACAAATTCCGCAGGTTTTCCACTTAGTTCGCATATTATGACGACAATTGGGAGTTTGTATGTTTTAGTGTGGGTCTACACATAAGATTCTAGAGTTTTTGTATCCCCTTTTCTTGGGTGTGGCCATTTATATTCAAGAATCTTATTCAGAATTACTGTCACATATTATATACAATTGGAAATTCAATGTGGTTTATTCATGAAAAACCAAATGATTTGATTCCAATTTCCTATGTAAAAGAAAAATATTCCTTTAAGATTTATGTTTAAACTGTAACAACCTTTGGTACCAACTCGGTCCTTAGGTATAATTGGAGATGGGCAGTGGGTAAATACCCAAAGGGTAAATAGCCGGTAAATTGGGCAAATTCCCATTTGTGGGGATTTATTTGGGCATTTACTATATGGAATCGGTAATTCAACATCTTACACCCTATTTCCGGGTTTGTTTTATGAAATCGATTTAAAATAGACAGTTTTACGATACTTTAAATTCGTAGGTAAATACTCGAGTATTTACCCAAAAATTGGGTATAAACTCATTAACTGGTGAACCACTTGACATAGGCGGCCAAAATTTGGATCAGATGTTTTTAATGCCAAAGCGAATATTGCTATGGAAAATGGGGTCCCTGGGTCCAAGTTTTGATATTTTTTGTCTTTTAGACATATTTTACGATCAAATTGGCTGTAATTTGGCACAGAGAGTTCGCTTTGGGTAACAAATATCCATGCAAAAATGTAATTGGGTATAAAATCATTAACTGGCGAACCACTTGACATTAAGTACTGTATACTTAATCTAGCATGTGAATCTCATCCATTCTCACAAGCTAGATTTCGAATTCTTCCAAAGGAACTACCCCAAAGAATTATTATTGACGATGATGTCGGCGGCCCATGTCCGTCTATTGTAGTCCATTGTCCAAATATATTTTGGGTAGTCTTTTTTACGTGGTCCTGGGTTTGTTCTAAGTATTGGAAGGCGGGAAGTTTGCTCTTCGGACAATTCGCAGTGCTCAGAGGCAGCACGGCTGTGGCATCAATCCAGTTTTGCAAAATTTTATTCCTGTATTTTCTTAATTGAATCCAATAATAAATATGTGGCCCTTGGAAGCACGTGATTCCATGGGAAAATTGCATAGAATCAGCTGCATGTGAGTTCCAATGAAATAATAAATAATTGTTCATAAATGTTATAGAATAGAAGTCTAAAAGTTCCAATCAATGGATGTATTTTAAAAACTTCTTGGAACTGAATTTCTGCTCGAGCGACCAAAAAATGGGGTTTAGAATTTTTTGTTTCGAACGCTGCATTTTATAATTAGGAAAATAATTGAGAACAAAATAAATTAATAACCTAACGAAGCCTAAAAATACCAAAAAAAAAAAAAATACTTGGCCTTTCCTAAAACTGTAAGAAAATATATTTATGAGCTTTAAAGTTCGAAAAATATGTTGTAAAATTATACACACCATATACACCAGGTGGTGGCATACATGACCAAAAAATAACAACAACAACAAAACAAGGAAACCGAACATATATGGTCAAGGCATTACAACAATCAAGCCACCAACTACCAGTCGGGACAAAGTTAAGGATACCAACAAACAAAGATTTCAAACAACACAACTGTCAGATAAATGCAGAAGAGCCAAACAACCAACCAAACGACAACAACAACAAAAAACAACAGCAACCAAACCAAAACGTTACACAAAGAATTGTTGGCAACCCAAAAAAAACCATAGATATGACGATGGACATGAACATGGTAAACGACACGTTTGTGTTTTTTGCAACAATCGACCAAGAAAAAATCCAACAACAACAAAACAAAAAATGGCAAAACGTATTGGCAGCAAAAAAAAAAAAAAAATACAGAAAAAAAAGAACAACAACCATCTGTGCAACCATTTTGGAATAGGACACAAAGAGTTAGTTGTGAACATGTTGTAAATTACTAAAGTGTACTTAACTCACTCGAAGGCAACAACGCAAATAACAAAAACAAAGACGACTTTCATATACCTACATCTGGTTGCCAGGACTGTCATTTGGTTTTACAAACAGCAACAAAAAAACACACACACACATATTCACACAAAAAAGAACAACCAGCGGAATCTACTTTGGACAGCAACAACAAAATCAGCCTCAGCCACTGAACGAAGAACCATTTCAGTGTACCAGAGTCTCGAGTCCATAATACAAATGGGTGTGAGTGAGAGTAACTAAGTGATAGCAGCAATCCAGTAGTACTGCCTGCTACTGCTGGTAGTCATCATCATCAGAGCAGTAGTAGTCGTCGTCAGTCTATATACCACTTGAGTCAACCAACAACAAAAAGCCAACAACAACAACCCAGTCATTTCTTATTCTTACAACAACACCATTCACCACTCACTCTCCCATCCAGTAGTCATACGTATATAGAGCGATAAACAGACAGACAGAATAATATACAGCAGCAAGGCAACCATATGTTCGCAATAAACCGGTTCACTGAGCACCAATCAGCGATACTCACCAGCCATGAGGGGCGTCAACAAAAACACCACACACCAGACCAGACCCAAGCAGTAGACAGAGTTGGTGTGGTGTGTGTGCGTTTGTGTTGCTACTCTTCTGCCATGGAGGCAGTGTTGTGCGCAAGTATCTAAAAATGGAACTGGTTTTTTATGTACTGACTCAATAACAAGTCCTACTCGTGCCATACACAAGGCTGCCAGGCTGGCTGGATGTGGATGAATCGCTGCTGCTGCTGCCGCCACTGGCTGACTGAGTAACTGGCTGGGCAGCAAAATACAAAAGTCACTTTAGTTCCAAGCAGATTTTACGTACGTGCGGGTGTATCACTCTGTGTCGGAGTCAATGAAAAATTAATCACACACTCACTCACCAACAACTACTGGAACAGCAGCAACAACAACAACAAAACAGAGATTCATAATTGCAACTGAAGCTCACTGACACACACACACACTCCCTTACAATTACAAAGTGTAGAAAAAACAGCAACAACAGCGATTAAAGTAATTGCAAATTTAATTAACTTAACTAGACAACGAACGAACGACACTGTCAGTCGTCAGTCAGTCAGTTAATGGCAGTAGCTTCAAAAATAGTGAGCGGTAGCAGCAAAACGAAACAGTAACAGTCAAGTTGTGATAGCAAACTCTAGCTACTCTACTACAGTGCTTAATAAGTGAACGATCGAACGAACCATCGAATGAATGAAGTGAGCGTGCGAGTGAGTTATAGTGAAGTCCAGTGTGACTGTAAATGTCCCGTTCCTGGTCACCACAACTACTACCAATCGACGGTATAATTATTATTATAGTTTTTTTGTTGTTGGTAGTTTCAAGAGTAATTATATGCATTGCTGTGTTGCATTCAATTGTGTACGAGCGTGCGTGTGTGTTTTAAAAAATTAATAACTACAACAAATAATTAGCAGATTTTTTGCAAATAAATTAAACAACAACAAGTAAAAATAAATTACAAAACATAATTAGTGCCAGTGTTTAATTAATTAATTTGTGCAATAAAATAAAATTAAAGCAAACAACAAATGCCTGTCACAGCAGCACTGTGATCACATTCTTTGTTAGTTATCTCAAGATATCCCAATTTAAAAACGTTCCCTTGATTCAAAGGAACATTTGGGAACATTTTTCGTTTGTATTATGGAAAGTAACGCCTTTGGAAGCAGTCACATACCGTCACAAGCATTGGTCGTATTATCGGAGGCTGCTTCCGGTTTGCATGAGGCACTAAGAGGACAACGTCCATTTCCCACACGGGTAAGTTTTCAAAATGCCAGACAAATTTGCGAAGAAATACAATTTTGTTATACCGTCGGTTGAGGAAAGATATTTTACGGGCAAAGTCTATTAAGGAATTTTCCCCCACGAGAGCCAATTTAGAAACTTTGTAAATGAAAAAATTCAATCGAAAAGGCAGCAAATAATCGATAAAAAATTTTTGGAATGTCCAAGGGGGTCAATTTGAATATTCAAATAAAATCAATTGTTATTAAAATTAAATTAAATATATTAGTTGTAATAGATCACTCTAGGTATGTTTTACTTAAAATTCAAATAGTATCGTGTAGAACCCGGATTTACAATTTTTCAAAAACTGTGATCCGAGATTTTTCAATCAAATAATAATATGTTATACTCGTGGAGATTTGTTGTTGTCCACCAGACATCGCTTACATCTTAAAATAATCTCCGGAAACCCCATAACATTTTTGGAGAGAATATATCCGTCATTTTTATAGAATAATACAATCGAAATAGTTTTTATAGAATAATAAGGCCGAAATCGTTTACAACGAAGCCATTTATAACGACTTATCGGTTATACTTTGCTATCTAAAGTTTGGAATAAAGGTTCTGCCCTTTATTTAATATAAAGCATTTAATTTTTGCATATACATTCATATATATTTCACGGATATATCCGTCCATTCTATAGAATAGCTCCATAGAGAGGTCCCGCCGCATTTTCGAACCAAAGAAACTGTAACTTAAGATTTCGAGTTATCTGAAGGTAATGGATCTCTGCAGAAATTGTAGAATATCCATAATTTGATACAGCGCTCATAAAAGGTCCAATTTTCTATAGTTTAAATAGGATAAAGCACTTCTACACGGAATGTATATTAAATATTTTAAAGGATATATAACATTTTCCAATTGAAGTGGTTGTAATTTGGCAGTTACGATTTCTCAAAAGATAAAATACCTGCTGGGATAAGTTTTCTATTATGGGTCCATGTTTTAATATATCCTTTTATAAGGGTTCCCTTGCATTTTACTTATTTAGAAGGTCGTAGGCTTATTTTACAACCAAAATCTCTGCATATACAGTGGAGATGTAAAAAGTTCTATCCAAGTTCTAAGAGCATTTTGGCTTCTCGTATGCATCAAGGGGGTACTAAGAAATGCGTCAGGTGGGTGAAGTCATTTCTAGATATTGCAGATATTTTGCCCACATTTGCATATATGTATTCAAAATTAGGAAATAAATGCAATGATAAATAGGATAAATTCTATGATCTTCAGGTTTGAACTCAGAACCCAGCTTGAAACGAACATGCTCATAAGACCCCAACGGTGGCTCAGGTTTTTTTTCTACAAAGCGGATATTTTCTCCCCATATTTTATTCTCCACTATTATCTGTATTAAATATCGTAGATAAAAATCATCAATTATGCGCAGACAAATACAGATAAAGTATCTAGAACAAATATCAATATTAAATATTAATTTATCACATTGGGGATAAATTATCTATAATGGATTCCATACTTCTTGGATAAAATATATACAAATCTTGAAATTAAAAAGAAATATATAAAATATATCCGGTTCTTAGATAAATTATCCCAAGGGGCTATATAGTTTAGATTTATCTTCAACTTATATATAAATTATACAGATAAATTTCATACAATTGCAACAGTGGATAACTTATCTAAAATCGCAAATATAAATAAATTGTCCACAAAACATAAAGAGAATATTTGCAATTTGTAGATAAAAATCTTTGCCGTATTACCCACTCATGTTTTATAGTCACCTTATCTGCAAATTTTGAAAAAAAATGTTGAGGACTCATGTAAAAATTAGGTAAATTTTTGGATTTAAAAAAAAATTATCCACAAAACATGAATAAATGATCTTAAACATGAATTTTTGTTTCTGATTTTATTTGTTTCATATTTTATAAAATTTGTATTAGCCACAAAATGTGAATAAATACAGACAACTTATCCAAATGATCTGAATTTTTTCTCTCCTAGTACCCCTTTTCTCATTCCATATCGTCTGATAAGTTCATAACAAAGCGGTTTATTTGAAAGTAAACCACAAACTATAAAAATTCTAAACATTTGACACAAAATCAACTACTCCTTCGTTTGGAGTAAATTTCCGGAAAATCGACGGAGTTAATTCAATTTAAAGTGAAACAATCAAAACATTTTGTCTACCCAAAACGGAGGAGCTGACACAACATTGACAAACTTCCAAAGAAATTGATCAAAACAAACAGATGATGTACAAACAAACGGACATACAGACTAACCAAACTTCAGCTTATAAACTAAACTAAACTTGGCTTGGTATTTGTATTTATGATAACTCTACAAATTTCACCTTGCAATAGGCCAAGCAGCAGCTAACTCTTTTGTTATGGTGGGCCATAAACTTTGCCGGCTGGATTCCAGAATAAAAAAGAACAACGGACTTGACAACAATACTGGCCAGCAGTTCTACCAACATTCAATCCATCGGCCGATGAATGTTTTGCGATGGATGAATGTGTATTTTAAGTTTTTGAATTTAAAATTTCGCGCTTATGGTAGCAGTTTATTTGACCGCAATAAATCAGCACACCCAAAGAGGCAAAGCTGTTGCTGATCTAAACAAAGCTAACCAGTCACTCAGTGGATTTGTATGGGCCACATTCCATGGCACACAAAACGGCAACGCCACTAACTATTCGAAGTTGAAGTCTTGCCACAGATCTGACATTAAACGATTTCACAAAACTACTCACTACTGATCCTCAATATTCCTGTCTGGCATCCGGCGGAGTCCAATGTATGCATTCGTTTATCCGTTGATTCGTTCGTCTGTCCGTCCGTCCATCCATTGTCGTTGTCTATTGTGTGTAGATTTCTGTATTGACAATTTATGATTGTGTCCAAGTTTGCCACATGAATGTGTGATTGTTTTCGATACTGGCAAATATTTTGAAATTCCCTCCTCTCTGCTCGGTACCATCTCCTCCTTCTGTATTTTTGCCACCACAAACTTTGTACGTAGTCTGTCATCATAAACATGAGCAATGATCATGACGCTGATGCTACAAATGATGAAAAATATTTTAAACTTTTGATCAGCCATCATCATCGATGGCCATGATCTCCTTTTTTAACGGACATCCCCAATACAAAAGATCAAGAACACTACCAACAACAAGAAGAACAGCAACACAAATGGAACAAACAAGTTTCGCACCAAGTCTGGTTGCAAAATTTAAAATACGAGCTCCAGTTGTGGAGTATGTTAAACAATGTATCAATATGTCCACCGAAGGTGTAGATGGAAGCGAGATATTCGTCAGCAAACACCAATAAGTTCATCACACATTACAAAGGTAATCCATATCCTGTGGGGATAAAAAAGCATAGGGATTTCAGTACTCGGTATAGAGTACCAATTAGTCTTTGCTTGATTAACATGATTAAAAGGAGAGTCTCTCTTGTTGGTAGCCATATCTTAAAGTGTCAACAATTAAAGCATTGAGTTGTTAACTTTTTTATGGCGCTACTTTACCGTTTTATGTGTAATTTCCTTGTTTAGTGTGACTGAAAAGTGAGAGATGGTTGCCATTACACATTTTTTTCTTTAAAATTACCAAGGACGATTGAAAGCATCTCCGATTTTCTAGAAGACGTGGAGTAAAATTTCTTAACGGTAATACAAATCTGGATTTGTCAAAGGCGATAATGTATCATTGGGATAATGATAAGATATCCAACTCCGTTTTTTAATTGGCGGCTACATGTCAACCCTGGTTATAAAACCCAAATAAAAAGAACGGTGCATTAAACAAACTGGTTGATTAACAAATACGAGCTTCTGTATCAATTAGGACCAGAATGGTATTGCGTGCATTTTTCTTCCACATTTTACAATTTGGTAGTAGCAAAACATCGCTTATTGCCGCTATAAAATATTGTAACAATATTGAAACAGTTGTTTGACACATATCTGCTGGCCACGAATAAGGCATTATTTACATGTCATGTTGCCAGCCATCATACTGTTCGAAGAGTATAAAATGTGTGTTCGGTGCATCCAGTTTTGATGGACAACATTTGCTAATTAATCAATCATCAATAAATCCGCATAAATCAATTCAATATGAACGGAAAGTCAAGTCAAGAAACGGTACGATTGCCAAAGTCAGTGAGGGGTTTTTTTTTCAAAAAAGGCAGCAATTCCAGTTGACCTGATTTGTTGAGATATGAACTAATTGCAATAAATTGTTTTATGACTTTTAGACGGATTCTAATTAACCTGAACATACTGTCGAAGGAGGGTTAAAATGTGGATAAATTATACAAGAATATCAAATGATGTGTATTTAAGGGTATTTGATTTATTGGCTTCAAAAATTCATTTAAGGGTTCGGATTTCATTTTTTTTTTTTTTTTTTTTTTTAATATTGTCTCTTTGTGGGAAAGCACCAGAATGAGAGAACCGACGGGTACCACCTTCTGACTTAATTTTGTGCAGTCTGGTTCAAATCGGACATTCCATTCACCTGATAATGGGTATATATATATTGAAAACTTTGACCCTTTATAGGGGGTACCAGAAGGAATAGACCGGCGGGTATCATCTTCTGGCTTGATTTAAACATTGTAAAGATAATAGGTTGTGCAAAGTTTGGTTCAAATCCTGCATTCCAATTCGCCTTGTATTGTATTAATAAATATGGAATATTTTAACCAATTGTGTGGGAGGTACCAGAAGCAGTGAACCAAGGTGTCCCATCTTCGAACATAAACTAAGTTTGGAAGAAATATTACGAGGTGCAAAGTTTGCATGAAATCGATTACATCCTTTGACAGTTATCCTGCACACCAGCCGGACAGTCCGACGGAACGGATTTGGTCCAAAGAAACATTGGGTTGAAAAAAGAATGCAATACACCGAATTTTTATGGGCACAAAAACGTGGACCGGTATATCCTGTTTTTTATATCAAATATCCTAGA